AAGGTTGACCATTCGTAAGGTTGACCGGGAAATTGTAAAGAATGCCATTAATTGATTGAAATGATCATTTAGTATGCATTTAGTATGAATTGATTAAAAAAAAGATGAATCAAGATGATGAAGAATTGAAAAAAAACACTTACAGCTCCACTAGGTCCCATAATTGCCAAAACAGAACCAGGTTTCACATAACCACTCATGGCATGCAAAATGACTTTTTGTTCCTTTCTAAATAAATTCTTCATTGTAAATGCCAATCGTTCTCGAGGAGTGGTCAATTTCGAGGCTGGCAATGAGGGTCTCACTTTCACCACATAGGTCAAGTCATGCCATTCCAACATGACACTCGGAACTGTTCGACCATACGAACCTTTTACAGAATTGTGATTCTGATGATAGGATTTCATTTCAATCGAGATGGAATTATTGTTGTTCTCAACAACTACGGCAGCAGAAGTGGTTGTGAATGAAGTGCTACTACTACTGATCGCCGCAAGAGATTCCATATTTGAATAAATGGATGGAATGGCATGTGGCGGATGAGTAATCATAGTTTGGTTTGTGATGGTCTGTTCTTCTCTGTCATTTTCGAAAAGATTCTCAGCACTGCGCATTCCAACAACAAGAGGAGTCGTATTGGCGGTGGCTGTTGGTGTTGACATTTTTTGTGTGTAGTGTTTGCTAATCAATCTCGAGTATTTTATTGAAAATTCATCCGTCGCGGAGTTTTTGGAAAGGAAAAACAGCGCTAATTGATGTAATGAACAACCACGAACGAGAAGAGGGATTCAACTCGCGGACTTGACTTCGCAGTTATAAAACACCACAGACATGTATGATTCTTAAGAATAAGTGCCAACCAAGAACGTACAAATAAAGACAAGTCATTCATGAAAAAGTGCATTGTTGTTCAACAATAACAACATTTGCGAATCTATTCACTTGTTTACTGGGAATCAAAGACCACTCAATCTATAAGGCTGTCAAAAGTCTTTAATGTTCAATGCAACAAGTATGGCAATACTGGATTGTTTCTCAAGTTCATTCTTAGACCATATATTCTTTTAACATTTTCATCTTAGCAAATGACACACTTCTTGTTTGGAGAAGTGGTTCTATGATTATTCTTGTCTTCATCGTCTTCACGATCATTTTCATGTAAAGATGTGGGAATGAGTGTCAACGAGGAGAGTGATTGTTGTGTTTGCTCGACCAATCGTTCATGAAAACTCCATGCATGCATGTGTGGATTCATTCCCAATCGCTCTCCACTCTGAGCATCAACCTCCACCAAGAAGTAAGCAACCTCCTCCAAAGTTCCAACAATACAAATGGATCGACCTTGTGTTTTGGTACAAACGTCTCTTTTCAGAGTGCATGAAACATCAAAATGTGAAAAATGTGAAGTGGTGGTGCTTTCAATAATGCATTGTTTCCACAGCAGGTTTCCATTGTGAATGTTGAGGCAATAGAGGAAAATTCCATGTCCTCCACTCACAAGAACGTACAATCTATTTTCCAATACAATGGTTTGAACGTTGGGTTGATAGGAAAATTTTGACAAGTCGTCCATTGGTGTGCGCCATGAGGGATTTCCAATGGAAATGACACTTGAGTTATGTCTCGTTGTTGTTGTTGCTTCTTCTGTAGTACAAGATACTGCTTCTCTTCTTTCCTCATCATGATCATTATATTTTTGAATAGGGTCTGTTGTTCCACAATGATTCGAACAAGAAGAAGAAGAAGAAGAATCTGTTCCTCCTTCTCCTCCTTGTACGTCTTCAACTCTTTGAATTGGACAAAAGCTCATTTCATGCACATCATAAATTTCCACACTAAGCAAGCCGACTAATTGTGAGTCCTTCTCCACCATATACATGGCCAAAGGATTCGATGTATTTTCAATCTTTGTACCACTCTTCAAATGTACCAACTCGGTTCGTAATTTCTGTTTTTCAGTTCCAGACATGAGCCAATACTCAGAACCAATACATGTGAAATCGACTTGTAAATTTCTGGTACCCATCATGATTGGGACTGTGTATTCAAATGTTGCATTTTCCAAGTCCAATAAATTGTGATGATGAGTGGTGTTTGTTGTGGTTGTTGTGTTTGAAGGCACTTGTTTCTCAAAAGTCGAAGAAGTAGTCGTCGTCATCGTATCATGATTATTAGTATTTACAGAAATTTCTTCTTGTGTTCTCTCTTCATTGAGGAAAAGATTACAACTCACGAAATGCAAATGAGAACCTTGTGGCCTCACATCAAAGAAGATTCGATTCGGAGGATTCATTTGTCGTTGTGAATATTCATTTTCGAGATCTGTAATGGTCAAATTGAAAGTTGTGGTGAGTCGATTCCATGTTGCCATTGCACATGTTTTGAACGTTTTCAAATGGATGGAAATTAAGGAAGAAATGGATGATTCATTGCCATACACAGAGAGTATGAGATGATGAGAGGTCAGTACGGCGCAGTCAAATGTTCTCTTCTTGATGGAATTTTGAGTTGTTTCATGAGGTAGTGATGATGATGAAAACGATGATGTTTGCTCGCGTAACAGAGAAACATAATTCATGTTGTTGTTGAAATGATGATGCTGAGGAGGAGGAGGAGGATTGGAAACACTGCTACTACCACTCTTTCGTTTCCATTTTTGAAAAGTAGTCGAAGTGTGTGTGTGGACACAGGAAGAGGTTTCATTGGTCATCACATTCATTTGATCTTGTGACACATTGTAAATAAATTCGACTTGTCCCGTTTGTTTCCGCAATGACATGACAAATGTAGTGTCCACTCTCCTCAATATAATAATTAATTGTCGATCGTTTTGAAAGGTCTGACACACTTGTAATGGCGACCTTACATATTGTTCCAAATCCACACACCATTTCACACATGAAAAAGTTTCCAAATCCACACAAAATATTTTGTTGGAATTGTTTGTTGAACAAGACGAATGAAAGTGATGAAACAACAATGAACTACCACCACCACCCCCATCACCACTTGAATATTGCCTTCCTGAGGAGTGCACTCCATTCATGAATGAAAATAATAATATGGGATAGGCATATAAAGAATCATACGGCATGTGCATGGAATGATATTTGAAATTATTCATTCCTTTTCTCCATTGTTTGGATAAGGCAATAAAATTTACAAGTAAATCTATTGTGTGAGGACTTGTGGAGGAATCATGCTGAAAAGTCTTGCTGTGAGCATTCTGATTGGAATTGGTTGGTAATAATAATACATCACGTGGATCTTGATCAATGATGTGAGGATCCTTCTTGTCGACGTTGCTGGCGTGGAGTTCAAATTTTGGGAAAATAATGTGAGGAATGAATTTCAATTCGTGTTTCTGTAAATCGTATCGATAGGCTCCAAATAAGAAATATCGTTTTTTGACCTCTTTGATGTATATTTTACATTGTTCATAAAATTGTTTGTTGACATATTGAAAAGATATCACGACATCATGTATTTTACAATTTTCTAATATACACATGATCATTTCATCGGGAATGGAGTTCATTGTGTCATGAACTTTCTCCACGAATGTGTGTGTCGAGGACGTTGATCCGACACGAGGAGGATGAACCATCTTCACCTCCTTCATCTTTTTGTTTTGCATTTTTTTTTGTGGAAAACACTCTGTTTTTCTCGACGTTTGATCGATCCGACTGGTGACTGAATAATATTATTGTGGACGGACACACAGACAACATGTCGCCATGGTCAAATATTTTCTGAACGCTTAATTCCCCTGCGAATATTATGGAAGAGATACAAGTTCCGTATTGCACCATCCTTTTTCCTTTCCAACTCCGATTCCGATCGGAGAAAACTTTAAAAAAAAACTGACTTCCCTTCTTCTTCTGTTCGCCCTCATCACTTGAGATTTGTTTTTCCAATTCCAGAACCTCCTTCATCATGATCATGATGCAAACGGAAGCAAGCCTTCCAGCCAAAATTCTCGAGAAACGAAACCGAAGGCCAAGTCAGCAACAACCAACGCCAGAAATAATTGACAAGCCTCATCAACCACCGTTGAAATCAATTGACAGCCTTCCAACTTCATCGGCGGTGGTGGTAGTTAAAAGTCATCGTGATGATGATGATGGTGATGACTCGACCACCTCGGCTTGTTCCGCCAAGCAGCAAGAACGACAACAACTAGTCCTCAACCATTCATCATCATCATCGCCTACTCCTCTTCCACAACAACCACCACCACCACCATTCATGGAACAAGGAATGAATGAGGCCATTCCGAAGAAGAAGAAGAAGAAGAAGAATTCTTCTCCAGAAACGAATCAGAATGATAATGGAAAGAAGGAATTCGGAGGCTCTGGCGAAAAGAATAATTATTTTGATGGACAAGGAAATGTTCCTCTTCGTAACAACCAAATGACGAATCCTCCTTGTCCTCCCATCATGGCGAAGACGACCACGACGAACACAGAAAAAGAGTTTGAGCCTTTGCTTCCGAGACCGATCCGAACAGCCGCTTCCACACCATTGACCAACAACACAACGAGCTCATTACCTTCCATTCCTATAACGGCTAGCAACAATAATATGATGATTCATCATGGACCTTACACAGCTGCGATAGGAGGAATCAATAACAACAATAACAACACGGGTGCAAGTTTCACTCCATCGCCATTATCGGCGAACTCTCATGCGGGGTTTTCTCAGAACGCTTTTCCGAGTCAGTCGTCCTTCTCGAATGCGATCAGCAACGTTATGAATCATTCACAAGACATGAGTGCCGAAAACAAAAAGAGAAGAAGAAATCAAGCCAAATCGGCGTGTGAAGCTTGCCGACGTGCTCACACCGCATGTCAAGACCAAAAACCATGTCATCGATGTGTCAAGCTTGGCTTGGAATGTGTAGAGGCACAGAAAAAGACAAAGGTGAAAATTGCAAAAACTTCTGGAACTTCGCCGTCAGCATCCATGTTACCTCTCTCGACAATCATGACAGCGAGCACTACCATGACATCCAACGGTCAATACAATTTGCCTCAGACCTTGATCAATTGCGGTGCTTCTGCTCATGGATCAATGACGAACACCACTACTCAAGCATCCAGCGACCATCAGAGACATCAAACTGGAGGAAACCAAACATCTCCACCTGTTAAAGGTGTCTCCCGTAAGAAGCATGCAGAATCTGCAATTGGCTCAGTTTCTTCTTCTTCGTCGTCAACAACCTCTTCGTCATCGGATGGTGGTGGCGAACAACGAGGTTTTGATCCAGTCCCTGTTCAATTTCATGCATCTTCCCACACGATTGATGTTAGTATTCAACCTCATCATGGTGGTGGTCATGCATTTCAAGAGTCTACAAGTCCATTGGGTGGATTAGTAGCGAGCAATCATCAATCACAAGCTTTAACTCACACAACAGGGCAACCTCTTGCAACTCCTGCAGCATCTATGCCTAATGCCTCGCAACAATCAGGTCACATGATGAATTCCATTCCTTACCATGATTCACACCACAATTATGGGTCGTCTTCATCGACACCACATGACAGCTTGTCCAATTACCACCCACCAAACACACCAACCACAGGAGGAGACAGCAACAACAACGTTGGTGAGGGATCGGTCCACCTTTCTCAATTGTCACCTCAATTCATTTTGCAATTCCAACAACATGTCAAGGATGGAAACATCGACAAACTACGTGCAGCGTGTGAGCAGTGTTTTCAACTCATTACCATGTCTGTTGAGGAAATGAAAAAGACGTTTGCCATTCCTCAACTCTCTCGTCATCAACAACAAGATTTTCAATGGAATTTGACTCGTAATGGATTTTTATTGTCCTACTTGTATGGAAAATTCAATGTCATGAATATGATGAGAGATGTATTATGGACTCGTCATCGAAAAGAGTACATTGATTTTCTATACAAACTCATCTCATTAGAAGACGACAAGGCACTCATACGCATGTTTTTACAGGGAGTTCAATTAGATCTCAACACGATTGAGAATGATAATGGCGTTGGATTATTAAGCTTTTGTGCATGTTTCGGTCGAATTGAAATTTTCAAAATGCTTTGTGAAGAATTTTCTTGCTCACTCTATCAGTGTCGAAACGAAAAGTATTTACCCATTCATTTTGCTTGTAGTTATGGAAATGTAGAAATTGCAGAGTATATTCTTCAAAAGCATCCAGATCAACTCGATATTCAAATTAATAATCACAGCTCTCCCCTATTAATTTCAGCCGCCTATGGTAGCATGAAGAGTGTCAAGTTTTTAGTGGAACGTGGAGCCAATGTGATGTTGAGTGATCATGACGGTCAATGCGCGGTTTATAATGCCACCAAGTACAATCATTTTTCAATTGTTCAATATTTAGCACAACACAATGCAGATCTTTATGCCAAAACTAACTCTGGTCAAAGTATTTTTGACTTGGCAGAAGGATCACCAGAAAAAGAAACTCTTATTGGAGCTCATCATTCAAAACAAAACTCTCAACGATAGAATTTCCTTACAGGATGACCTTATTAGATCAATGAGGCAAACTTGTAAATAAACAATGAGTTTTGGGTTTTTGATAATGTTGATTTTCATCCAATGCTAGAAAGTTTGAGGAAATTGATGGTTCCTATTTATCCACATCTAATTTTCCAAAATTAACCTATTTGAGCATATCGAATGGACTCTTTGCAATGAACAATTTTTTGGTAAATCTTGCTTCTGGATCATCTTTGAAACATTTGAAGCATTTAGAATTGTTGACAGACTTGTTTCATGAACAGACATTGCTTGACATTGTGAACCATTTATGTCCTCGCTATTTGACAATCTATCGTAATTATGCTTTGAATTACGAGGAATTAAGGAAGAAAATAACATCCTCAACCAAAATAATTTTTTATGAAGAATTTCAATCAGACAAGTTTATTTCACTTCAATAAATTTGTTTTCAATTTCTTATGGTTAAAAATTGACGATTCTCCACTTTTGACGAGACTTATTTGAATGGCTAATCATCATGGACCTCCATAATAGAAAGAACTCAAGAGTTAAGAAGCAAATTGAAAGGAATTCTTCAAAAAAATGCCCAGAAAGAAAACTTCCACAACAAGCGATTCTTCCACGAGAATGGATCTTGCAGATGATGAGAACTCCATGGCTCCATCATCGGATTTTTATCCAACACCTCCCTTGTATAAGAATAATTCGGAGCCATCATCACGGAAATCCACTCATTCCGATGCTTCTACTATGATGGTGTTTCCATTGAAACAATCTGATTTTGATAATTTTGAAAGAGAATTACGATGTGCGATATGGTAGGTATAACCTTTGGATTTTAATCGTTAAGGATCATCATCACGATTCAATATTTAATCACAATGAAAATGAATTACTTTGACATTACTGTTTTGGATTATTTCTTTTTATTATAAAACAATGTTTTGTTCCATGAATATTTAAATATTTAATGGATCTCTAAATATATTTAATTTACACCCACAAATAGTTTGGAAGTTTGGAAAGAACCAACAGCTACTCATTGCAGCCACTTGTTTTGTTATGACTGCATTGAACAAGGAATGAAAATTAAGAAAGAATGTCCTCTTTGTAAAACGCCCATTCTCACCAAGAGACATCTCATGCCCATGCAATCATTGGCCAATCTGGTGGAAGAATTTCACAAATTCAAACGAAAATTCGATCAATCGATGGAACAATTTGGATCTAATACCAATACAAAGCACCCGTCAACTTGTACATTTGAAACTACTACTCCCTCCTCTATGGGAAATACCTATGAAGAGTTGTGTTCCATGTATCCCGATCCGACCAAGGCAGTGTCATCATCCTCTACAACTACCAACAAAACTCCAGCAAATACTGGAAGAAAATCAACAGCCAACAACATTTACGGTTCTGGAACAACAGCAGCAACGACAAGTTCCAACACTGTCACAACTGGTAAAAAACGAAGATTTCACAGAAAAGGATCATCCAACATTTCACAACCACAAGATGGAAATGTCTCCGACTCCTCAACCGCTTCTATTGAAGCCATTATTATTCCTTCGGACGATTTCATGGAGGATGACTCCGTACATGACCAAATACAACGTATCGATGAACAATTGACTGCTAAAAGAATGAAACTTTCTCAACTAGAGGAACTCTTATCTGACCTCAATGAGACCTATGGAGTTTTTGGATTTTCACATGAAAGATATCCTTTTCTTTCGAGTTTTGTACAAAATGATATCATACCTGTAACATCAACAATATCGGCAAGTGTCAGCACTGCGGCTGGAATTTTGCAACACTTACAACATGTAAATATGCAAACAACAGCTACACAATCTCAACACTCTCAGGCCACTCTGGGATCTCAATCTTCAAAGAGAACATCCCATAGAAATTCAAAGGCGAAACGACTGTGTCTCTGCGGAACTAATTTAACAACGGATGCAAAAGAAAAATTAGAAAAGGCAGCAAAATATTTGGGCGGTGAAGTGAGGAACGAATTTACGGATGAAGTCACCCATTTGGTTTCACTCCTAGATGAGAACAGACTTGCTCGAAGAACGATCAAATATTGTGTTGCTGTTGTTTCTGGTGTGTGGATTGTTGGAACGGAATGGCTGGATGCAGTGCTTAAGGCCAAATGCCATGTGAATGAGGAAGATTTTTGCGCGTTGGGTGATGTGACCATCAAGTACAACTCACCAGCCGAAGCAAGAAAAAGCATAGCCAATGGAAATAATCGATTATTCTTCAACTATCGCGTGCATTTTCATGGTACCTTTAGTGCCAAGTCCAAGAATCCCTCTAAAAAAGAACTCACTGATTTGGTCACGTTTGGAGGTGGCACCATTCATGGTACCATGTTCAAGAGAGTTAAAAAATCCAAATATGAAAATGTCATTATTGCAGACAATGATGTGACACGAGAGGAGGCTGACAAGATTGAACAAGAAACTGGACACAGGCCGGTTACTTGCAAGTGGCTTCTAGACAGTGTGAGTTATTTGAAAATCATGGATCAACAAAGTTATGCTGTGTAGAGGTTTGACAAAGTACTTTGTCACAAACATTTGACATTCATCGTCCAGTTCTTATCAGAACCCTGAACCGGCCCAAAAAACCACTGTTTCCTTGGAACAGTTCTTTTTTATTCAGGAAAATATTGTATGGGCTGTCATGACACGGAAAGAATGACCATATCACATAAATAATTTCAGAAAATCATTTGGCCCAACCAATCGTTCACCATGAAAACAATTATACCTCTCGATCACTGCTATGTCGAATAATGTTTGGTTCCATGCAAGTCAGACAGTATACTGAATCATTGCCACCATTCGAAGGATTCACACGCTCCTTAATTTCCAATCTTCACCTTTTCTGTTTGTCTACTTGTGGCAGAAACGACGACAAGTTCTTTGGCTCCTGGCTCGTGGGATCGTCCCTTAATTAATGGATCTACAATTAAGAGTGGATTTCTACTATTGAGAACATCTTCATTAACGGTGATACCATCCAAATATTGTTTCAACATGTCACGAAGCTTTTTGTTTTGATCTACCAAGTGCTCCTTCTCCTGTTCGAGTGCTAAATTGTCCAGAAGAACCTTATTGAAACGTTTGTAGAAACGATCGAGCTGTTGCCACTCAGATTCAGTGAACTTCTTTTCCTCACCGTCCATCAAATCTTCCATGGCAGATTCAGCGACCGAAGCTAAAGCCGTCGTGCTTTCCAATTCCGTTTCAAAAGGAATCAAACGCTCTCTCTCAGTTTCATACCTGCGATTCACTTCAGATAACTTGAGGATTCGTGAGGCCTTTTCCAGCTTTTCATTGAGAGAATCGATCGTTTCCTTACTCATTTTGACTAGCTCGGTGAGTCTCTTCTTTTCTGACTCTCGAAAGGCATTCATCTTCTTTTGAGTTCCTTGAAATGTTGGGAGAGCTGATCCTTCTCCTTAATGAGTTTGTTGTTTCTGTCCTCGCACTCTCTGAGATTGTTCAACCATTTTGCTTTCCAGTGAGCTAGAGCTTCCTCCTTCATTTTGATTTGATACGTTTGGTTCTTGATAATTTCAATGTAACTGCTGTCACGTTCTCTCAAAATGATATAATCCTTATATTTTTGATTCATGGATTCGTAGTGATCATTGTTCTCTTGCTTGGTGATGCGGCGGTATTCTTCGATTTTGTCATTCATGTTGCCGACCATTTGTATGAGCTCTTCCTGATATCGATTCTTGACCTTTTCCTTGGTTTGGACAAAATCCATTTCCATGAGTTCATTCGTTTTTTCCTCTCTCTTTTCCATTTCTTTGGTAATTTCAGCCCATTCCTTCATTTCCTCCTCGTGTTTGATCCGTAATTCTTCCATTTCTTCCTCATATTCCTTTTTTAAGAGATACAAGTCATTGTTGAACTCTTGATGGAGAATAGTGAGACGTTGATCTTGCAATTGTAGCAATTCCTCGATATGTTGCATGTGAGTTCTCAGAGAAGATCGGTACTGCTCCTCGGATTCATCCAATTCTCTGTACATGAGTTGAATGGTGGCATTCTTTCTGTCGACTAATCGGTCGTGATCCTGAGCCTGTATTTGAATTGTTTCCTTGAGCTCTTTCAATTTACTTTCTCTCATCAAGTACAACCAATTCGCATTAATATTGGTGAGATTAATTTTCGAGTAGGACTGTTCTTCGTCCTTGAGCTGACGAATTTTCATTTTCAAATGTTCTTCTCGTTTCTTTCTATTTTCTTCCTCTCTCAATGCTTCGACATCTTGGATGACATTCGGAGTATCATTATTGTCATTGATGCCTTGCAAGGCATTCGCGGAAGAGACAAAACTTCCCATGGTATCATTCAGTTGAGTATTTACAATATTACTGACGTTCATGGATGCATTTGGATCAAAAGGTTTAAATCCTTCTTCATCATCTTCGGGTTCTTCCTCTTGTTGAAGTGCATGATTTTCGTGTTGAGCTTCCTCCGCATTTGCTGCTTCTCCCGCCTCATTATCATCACCAGCCGTTGTTGGAGGAGTGGGTGTCGGATCTACCACATCATCTTCTTGAGGCGGAGAAGACGACGAAGAAACCTCTTCTCTGGAAGCCGAAATGACCTGCGGATCTCCTTCATAAGATTCACTCATTTTTTTTGTAGTGATTTTTGGCGCGCAACGAAAAGTTTCAATTTTCTTGCCGATAACAGGAAGATATAAGACACACAAGATATCTTTTGAATGTGTTTTCTTGGAGCCATTTACAAAACCTGTTCACTATTTTACAAAACTCGAATCAATGTACAATTGTTT